AGGGCCTGAAACTTTGATCGAACCTGTTACGTCTAGCACTTGTGCTCTCACTTCTTTCTGAACTTCCCCAGGGCACGTGGGAGGTGTGAGCTCCAGGTTCTTGTGCCGCCTCCCCAAACCTGTAGACTGTGTGACTCGTTCCCAAGTCCCATTTCCCCGCCGTCACCCGGGTGGCTAGGGATTGGCCCACCCTGCTGTGGGGATCCAGCATGGCTTGTTGCAGTCAGGCATGGCGTTCCATGGAAAACTGCTTTCAGAGGCTGAGCTCGAAGTGAGGGAGTAACTCTTTGTGCTGAGAGCTTGTGAGTTGGCCTCTGCCACCTGTGAAACTAGGATAACGATCCCTGGTGGCTGGGACTGGGCACAGGTTGGGCTCTGGTCACCCGCACTCGCTCTCCCTGCATCTCCCCAGGTGGTGAAGACACCCGAGTACTGTTCCCACCGTGAGGCTGGGCCAGGAGTCATGTGGCCTGGGGGTGGAGTGGGAGTTTGTCCTAGTCCAGGAGGATATGAAGATGGGGAGTGGCCTTCAGGGGCTCTGCAGGCCAAACTTCTCTGACAGCCGGCTTCTTGTCCTATCTTAGCAAAAGCGCAAAGGTGTAGAAGGGCTCATTGACATTGAGAACCCCAACCGGGTGGCACAGACAACCAAAAAGGTCACACAGCTGGACCTGGATGGGCCCAAGGAACTTTCAAGGAGAGAAAGGTAACCTCTGCTTCTGAGCTTTGTGACTTGGGCCAGGGGCTGAGGCCCCCAGCTCCTCTGCCCTTGCTTCCTGGGCTCTTGAGGTCCCCAGTGGCTGGTGGGCGCTCCGGCTCCGGTATTTATTTCTCTGTCATCTCATTCTCCCAAAGGCCCTATAGAAGCTTCTCCCCCCCAAAACAAAGCAGAAAACAGAATTTTTTCCCCCAGTGGAAGCATACCAGGAAAAACAGAAATTATGCTGTAGCCCCTTCCTCCAGGGCACCCCACTCCAGGGATACCTCCCTTATCCAGCCTGATCTGACCCTTCTTGGCCTGCATCCATCCCTGATGGCCATAGGGATTGAGAAGGGACTGGGGACCCATGCCGTCCAGCACTGTGTAGGGAGGTCCACCAGCTGCCCCAGTCCTCTCTGAGTCCCAGGTGAAAATGGAGCTGCAGAGAGCTCCCTCACAGGCTGTGCAAGGATCACACTGAGTGCTAGTGCCCTGCACACAGCTGGTCTTTAACAAGTTGTTCCCTGACTTTTCACGGCCACCAGGTGACATCAAGGGCCTTATAGAAGGTTGAAAGCTACTAGGAAAAGCCACCCTGATTTCTCTCCTGACTGGGTTGCTCGATTTAAATCCACCTTGCTGTGCTGACTCCGTGACAGCTGAGGCGGGTCTCTGAAAACCCCGTGGGGAAGGCCCACAAGCTTGGGGTGTGATTGGAGGCTGCTGAAGAGTCTCCCCCTCCAGCAGCTTCTTTCTCACCAGTGAAACCCCCTCTGAGGTTGCAGAGTGACAGCCACTGCTGGCTTGTTTGCTGAGTGTCCATCAAGGAGGGGGCACACGGAGCTAGGGCCCAGGCCTGAGTGCTTGGGCTTTATTCTGGCTCCCACATCCAGCTCAGCTGATAATGGCGGGGAAGATGGCCCCTGTGACACCATTTTACTCAAACAGAGAAGAAATCGAGAAGCAGAAAGCAAAAGAGCGTTACATGAAAATGCATTTAGCGGGGAAGACGGAGCAAGCCAAGGCTGACCTTGCCCGGCTGGCGATCATCCGGAAACAGCGGGAGGAGGCTGCCAGGAAGAAAGAAGAAGAGAGGAAAGGTAAGTCTTGAGCCGGTGGTGTGGCAGCCTGACTGGTTCTGGACAGGCCACCAAGCCCTGCACTTCAGTGTCCTTGTTGTGAAGTGGTATGAGGTCAGACTGTTCCGTAGAGGCCTACCGTGTGTGTGGGGAGGGCGGTATGGGTGTATGTGCACGTGCGTGCCTGTCTGCCTGCCTTTCTCACTGTCAGATGGAGGTGGGTGTTCCTGCCCGCCACCTCCCAGGATGCTAGGAGAGTCCAGCAGCAGCGGAGTCAGATGTGAGTTTGAATCTCAGCAGAGCACTGTCCACAGCATCTGAGGGAGGCCTCAGGATGCACCTACCTTAGAGGCTAGAAGGTTCCCCTAAGGTCTCTGGTGTCTTGTGTAGCCTGGAGAGCTGCTTGGGGTAGCTCTTCATATTTCAGCATTTCATACTTCAGCTGGATGTCACAGATGATATCTGGCCCAGGTGTCCCTCTCCCCCACTGCCTTCCTTCCAGTGGGGCCAAAGGTGGTAGGGATTCTTCCAGGCCAGGTTGGCTGTGGGGAACCGGTCTGCTTTAAAGGAGCATTTGACTCATGACCTTCTGGCCTCATGCACTCTTCTCTCCTTATGTGGGGGGCCATGAGTGTGTTGGGATCTTGGTGTCCTGCCTTCTAGGCCTAGAGATGGGAAATCAGTTGCCTTAGGGCATTGTCACCACATTGGAGATACCCAGTAATCTCAACTTCCCACTAGTAGCTCCTTTCACAAACCTCAAGCAGGAAAGGACCTCATGTGTAACTATTTGAATGTTGCTGATTGCAGGCTTCAGAATCCATGGGGAGAGGTTGGAATTACAGGGCTCTGCCTGGGGGGTGGGCTAAGAAGAGTTTCCATTTGCTCAGTAGATTGTGTGTTCGTGGGCTTTTGTGGAGGGGGCAGCCACCCAGACTCCACGAGAATGTCTGGACACGTGGGTCTGGTGGCTTCCAGGGGAGGGCGTCAGTCCGGGCGCTTCTCCTTGGGTCGCTTCCTCATCTGCCAGCTGAACCAGTTGCACAAAATGTTGTCTGAGGCCTTTCAGACCTACAGTTGTATTATGGTTCGGGGGTGTGCGGGCTGTGTATATGGAGGGGTGGTGTTGTCTTGTAACTCCTTCCCTTCCTGCTCCTCAGCAAAAGATGATGCAGCTTTGTCAGGAAAACGAATGCAGTCGCTCTCCCTGAATAAGTAGCACGGCCTGTGGGAGGAGATAGCAGGGAACTGGGCCGTGCTGCCAGGACCTCTGCCGTGTCTCACCCACCCTGTGCCCCGGCGCCACCGCAGCAGCCCCTCGTGGCGAGGAGCTCCCCACGGCTCCTCTTCATCTTGGCACAGAAATCGTTTGGGGGGATGGTGGGTGGGGGGAGGGGGCAGCTGCTATCTTTGAGACAGAAAGATGCAGGACAGCATTTCATATGTAACCATTTGAATGTTTTGGCTGTTTTTAGAATTCAGAACCCTTGTGTGGGGGGTTTCCTGGGAGGTGGGGTAAGAAGAGCTTCCGTTTGTCTGGTCGATTGCGGGGCAGTGGGCGGTTGAGCCGCAGTAGCTGCTGACAAGTTTGTGATGGACGGCCCCCTGTCTGTGTTGCCCCGGCGCCTGATTGGGGAGCTGTCGCCTGGGAGCCAGGGCCCTGGGTCTCTGAGGGTCATGGCTCATCCCCAGCCAGTCCCCTCTGACTGAGGCTTCGCTCCTGACCTTCCCACCCTACTCCCTACCCCCGACTCTGGCCAGGGCCCGGGCCCATTCTTAACCCTGCCCATGGATCATTTCAAGAAACCTGTTTACTGTGTAGCCCCCAGGCAAAACATGCTCCACAAGTCCAACTTGTATATTTGGCAAATTAAACTTGACATTATCGTAATTCTGGTTCTGTGATCTGTCTCTGGGCCCCCATGCCTGGGCTGTTTTCACCCAGCAGGACAAGGTGTCACTCTCAGGCAGGCCCACCCTAGGGTTCAGGTGGCACCAATCCGGGTACAGGGACTGGACCCGGGGCATCCGAGCTGGGAGAGACTTCAGGATACAGGAGCCAGCCCCCTCCCCTTCTTTAACCAAGCGGGGACCTTAGGCTGGAGGGGCCAGGGACCTGTGCACAGCACATAGCGTCCTGTCCTCCTGGTGCCCCCTGGTGGTAACAGCCTCAGGATTTCAGGGCTGGGAATAAGCGACCCAACACCCAGCATGACTGCTAGGCATTACCTTGTTCATGGTGGGATGGCAGTGGGGAAGCCGAGGCTTAGCACAGTCACGTGGGCGCCTGTTCTGCTTATGCACCCCTCCAGGAGGGGCGCTGCCTCCTAAACAGCAGTGCCCTCTGCGCGGTCCTGAGAGGTGAATGGGCGCCAGGCAGGGAGGGACTCGGTGAAGACTAAGGGGAGCTGTGTAGCCTGAGCTGTCTCTGGGGACTGAGAATTTTTATCTCCTGATTTAAAAAAGAATCAGTGGGTCTCCTCTCACAGAGGAGACTATCCTGAGGGACAGGCCCTAGAACAGTGGGGGAGGAGGCTTCCTTAAGTATCGTTTGTCCTGCAGATGTGAGGACAGTTTAGATCTACTGATGTAATTCATTACCTAGTTAGACTAAAAGAAAAACTATGATTACGTAAACAGGTAACTAAAAAGCATGTGAGGGCTTCCCTGGTGGTGCAGTGGTTGAGAGTCCGCCTGCCGATGCAGGGAACACGGGTTCGTGCCCTGGTCCGGGAAGATCCCACATGCCACGGAGCGGCTGGGCCCGTGGGCCGTGGCCGCTGGGCCTGTGCGTCCGGAGCCTGTTGCTCCGCAATGGGAGAGGCCGCGGCGGTGAGAGGCCCGCGTACCACCAAAAAAAAAAAAAAAAAGTGATTAAACAAAAACACCTGAGTAAAATAGGAATGAGGAAAAAAAACCGTCCTAAAAAATGATGAGCAGTTAGTAGAAACCAACCGCAAACATTCAAATAGAGAAATAATAAGTTTCCACTAAAGCCCAGAACCAGCCCACAATGTGCAACCACTTGTCTAGGAATCTGACTGCTGAATGAGTGACAGAAAAGACACCTGGTCCTGGCAGCTCCCAGGCTGGACTGCAGCAGGGAAGGAACCATTTGGGGGCAGCCTCTTGGGTTTAAGGATCAGCTGTGCTGGCAAACAAAAATAAGCTACCAGTGCTCTGCCCAAACTTACCTCTCCTTCTAGACACACAGGCCGGTGTGTCTATAGTTGCATTTTTATTACCTCCACATTTTGAAGCAGTTCATGACCAGCAGAGTGCTTTGGGGACATTTTTTACAATAAATGGAAGCATTTCTTTAAGAAAAAGGCAATTGTTCCTTCAGTAGGTAAGCCTCCCGCCCCTCCCCTCCCCTCCCCACCTGAGGGAGCAGCCTGTGGGGACCCGAACTGGTACCCTAGGAACATTCAGCAAAGCGATCCTTCGCCTCCCTGACCCCCTTCCCTCAGCAGCTGGGATGAGGGCAACAGACTCCTCACAGGTCATTTGATCTTGAGATCCTTCAAGGCTGACTCCAAGCTCTGGAAGGAGACAAGTAAAAGACAGGTTGGTTCTCAGCTGTCCTGCAGACACCCCACCCATAGGGACCTGGCCTGGGACAGAGAACCTGGTCTTTGGGGTCAGGCAGACCTGGGTTTGAATCCCAGCCCTAAAGGAAGGTGCTGCAGAGGGTGCCAAGGCCCAGATGCCAAGGAGCCCTCACCCCACTGAAGTGCCCTTCTCCTGCAGGAAAGAAGGAGGACTGGGGCATCCAGGTGGCTGCCAGGGAGAATTGGGCGGCCTGGGGGGAAGCGAGGCGGTGGGGGGGAGGGCAGGCCTCACCTTCACGTCCCAGATGCTCATGCCGCCGTCCATGCCTGTAGTGCAGAACTGTGAGCACTTGGCCTTCCCCCCGCTGAGCACCGAGATCTGGCTGCAAAGAGGATGAGGGCTTTACAGATCCCAGCCTGTGCCTGGGCCGTGCTCTGGCCCACCCTGCCCTCCAGGAGCTCCCCAACTTCTGGGGGAGCCCACTCCAGTGAGTGTGAGTGTGTGTGCCCAGCAGGGACAGCCCAGGAGGCCGGGCTGTGAAGGATCAGAGAGGACGACAGGACGGGCCTCCCGAGTCTGCCTTAGGGACGAGCAGTAGTCCCTGTGCAAGGAGCACAGGGCAGCCGGGCAGCTGGAACAGGACGCACAAAGGCCTGGGAAGGGGGTGAAGGCACACGTGCTGGGGGAATCAGAGTGACGGAGCATGGTAGGGTGGGGAGAAGAAGCAGAAGATGGCACTGAGTGGATGCAGGGCTAGTTCTGAAGAGCCTTGAAGGCCGGGCAGAGGAGTTTAGTTTGAAGACATTGGGCCAGGCAGCCACAGGAGGGTTTAACTAGCCAAGGGGCAAGGTCAAAGTCTCGCCACACTTCCTCTGATTTGTCCTGGGGTGGACGCCTGTGGCTGGCAGGATCCGGGAGTCTCTGGCTCTGGTCCAACTCTAGTCCCTCAGGGAGGCTGCTCCGAGACCCTTTGTTCCGCCCCTCCCCTCTCCAGTCACTGCCCGGCCACCCCCCAGAACGGTCCCACAGCGCGTCCTGAAAACTGAAAACGCAGAGCAAGTCTGACTGCTCTGCCCCCACCTGATGCAAAACCTCAAGAGACTGACCAGCTTCCGAAGTGGGCCTGCACCTCGACGCTGCCTGGGTGGGTGTGGAGCTCGCCCTTCAGCCCCGCTCTCACCTGACACTGTTCTTGTGTAGCGAGTCCAGGCCCCCGCTCGCTGCCGTGCTGCCCTCCGAGCTCGCCTTCTTGTCGAGGTTCTGGAAGCGCTCGCGGGCCGTCAAGCCGCGCTGCGAGCTTTGCTTGGGCACGTCCAGCCGCCCACCGAAGCTCAGCGTCCCCGCGGTGCCGTCGTAAGTGAACAGCACCGGGAAGCAGTCGTGGCCCTGCAGCGGGGAGGGGCGGGGTGACATTGGAGCGCCCCCACTTTCCTCCCGGGGAAACCCAGGCCGAAGGGCAGGTACAACGCCGAGGGGCGCCTGGCCACGAATAGGGGGGTCCCAGAGGCTGGATGCAGGGCTTGGGTGTAGCACAGGGAAGCCGATGCCAGCTCGGGGACACAGCCGGCGACCCCAGGTGTAGTAACAGGGACTGGATGTCGGGGCTGAGCACCTAGGAGCAGCCCCCTCAGCCAGCAGGGCCAGCGTTCAGTTGAGAAAGCTGGTCTGGGACTTCCCTGGGAGCCCAGGGGGCCTTGTCCTGCCTAGACGGTTACACCTGCTCTGGGAGAGACCCCACAGCTGGACGTTGGTCTAGGCAAAGCAGGCCTGATCCCCCTCTGGGATCCCATTAGGTTTCCTGAGGCCTGAAAAGAGCCTTGACAGATAGGTGGGCAGGAGGAGGGAGGGAGAGTAGTGTCCTTCTGGACACACAGGACTGCACTCCCCCACAAGCACTCATTCTCTGAGTGAGGAGGTATGGCCCTGTCATTTTCATTGGCCAATAAAATGTAAGCAGAAAGGTTAGGATCCAGGGCCCAGTTCTCCACTTCCCCTCCTCACTCCACGGGAGACAGAGCTACCATCTGCACTGAGCAGAGCCCCCCTCACAGCGCCCACGCTGGACAGTCAAAGTGAGCAAGAAACAAACCTTTACTGTGTTAGGCCACTGCAGTTGGGGATTTTTTTTGTTGTTACCACAGCATTACCCAACCTATTCTGACCAACAGAGATATGGATGGATGGGTGGGGTGGATGGGAGGAAGGAAAGGAGGGAGGGGGGACAAGTAGAGGGCTGCCTGGGCATCTTGGGGCTCGCTGGGAGACCTGCTGTCACCGGCCCCTGCTCCCCGCCCCCCTACGCCTCCTTACCGCTGCCACCAGACTGTTTTCTGTGATGAAGGTCAGGGCCAGCAACGGCAGCGTTTCAGAGGCCAGAGTCGCGACGCTGAGTGAGAGAGAGAGACGTCAGCCACACCGACCCCTCGTGCTCGGTGCCTGGGTTGCCCCCCCATTCAGGTGACCTGTACTCACGCCATCTTCTTGTCGGCATCAGCCAGGCACACGGTGCTGTCATGGCTGACCCAGGCCACACGGCTGCCACTGGCTGAAAAGCAGACACCGTGCACCCAGCCGCAGCTACTGCTGGACTCAAACAGCAGCTCCCCGAAGGGCATCTTGGAGCCCCACGGGGTGGGTGCTGGCCGCTCCTCCACCTCCTTGATGTAGGCTGAGAAGATCCTGCCGGGAGAGGCAAAAGAGGGGGTGACCGGGGGTCTGGGAGGGGCCTGACAAGGGACTCCCTCTCCCAAACTGGCCTGCTGAGGCCAGAGCACCTGGCTGAGTTCAAGGGTACTGGAGCCGGCTTTCCGTGACCTGCATCTTCACACTCAGACAAGTCTGGGACTCCGTGCCCACTTTGGGCAATGGTGTGGGGTCAGGAGGTCCCACAGCTCAGGGTCCCGGGAGCTCCCAGGATTCTCGGGGCCCTCACCTGAGGACTGACCATCCACGGCTTACGTGGCTCCCAGCTCCCCCTCACGCTGACCACTACACTCCAGGGCTAGCCCCTGGGATGTGCCCCCCCTCCTGCTCTGCACCGTGAACCAATCCTGCCCCCCTTCCTGCCAGCTCCACCAGCTCCACTCGCCATCCCAGGGCCAGCCCGGAGTCATCTGACAGGTCAGGGTGCCGACAAGAGCCTCATCAGGACCTCATCCTCTCTGTGCCTGGGGCCTCTGATGCCTGCTGTAGCATCATTTCCCAGGGCAGATGCAGAAACCCAGGCCATCTGCCTGGAGCTGGGAGCCGGAGGCCTTGGGAGACTCGGTGTGGGGGGGCCGGGGGGGGGGGAATGGGCCCAGAAGTGACAGCCAGCCAGTGGCAGGAGGGGAGTCT